ATGACATATTTCACTATAAAATTATGAGTTTTTTCATTAGTGAAATAATGAACAGTAAAATCATCAATTTTCATTTAAAAAACCATGAAATACGAAAATATGAAACCAGAAAAAATGGAAACAAACACGAAATATGAAACCGAAACAAAAAATATGAATAAAAGATAAACATTTAAATTGTTACAAAAAATATTGGAAACGATTAATTATTACCTAAAATGAAAATTAAACCAAAAATGAAAATAAATATTCAAAAATATCTTTTAACTATTTTACCTTTTTCAACTTTAATTTAGATAGCCTGTAATAATTGTTTTTTTTCCTTAACATAAATAACTCATTCATTTTCAATAATTGATCAATCAAAAAGTTCGAACCCAAAGGCGGATTTACATTTTGTTGGAGGGTGGAGATGTGTTTGCAAATTAAACCACGTCTCTCTCTCTCTATATATATATATCACGTAAAACTCTTTTTTTTTATTGCAAGACCCCTTCAAAACCCTTGGACGAGTTTGTGAGTTTGATTGGACAATCCTAAAAAACATGGTCTCAAACCATAATAAAACCAAACTTCAAGAACAAGACGTACAAATACACAGAAATACCTTAGAGTTAACATAGAAATCTTAACATCTTTGAAATACCTTAAAGTTAACATAGAAATTGTAATATATCTTAATTGTCTGCCAAGAAGTTGATCAAACCTAAACACACCTTAATATGATAACTTTAACATACCTAAAAATGAAAATCTTAACACACCGTACCATATTAACATACTTCAATTCTCTTAACATGTAAATTATGATGTTAAAGTATGTTAATACGCCCGGATGCAAATTTCTTCCCTCCTCCCTAGAAGTAGGACATGTGATCTACGTTGTTGGATGAAACGTGCGAAAACTCTATCGACGGCCACGGATGAGTTCTCAGAGTCTTATGGTAAGGGCAATTCTAGTTCTTACTGAACCCAGCCCCACAAACCATAACTTGAAAAAAAACCGTGACTCCTAAAACTTGAGGCTTGATTTTGCGACCGTCCCATCCCATTTAAAAAACCATAGAAATTTTGTATATATGTGCCAAAATAACAAATATTAAGTAATAAGTTGGTGGTTTTTTAATCACATCAATAAAATATTTACAACTTTATGAAAGAGAGGTAGCATATTATATGCTACATTCATTTCTCCACCCAACCAAGCTTGATTGTAAATTTTGTCCTCTGTTAAAACTCTCTCCCTGTAGCTCTCTCTTCTCTCTCTCTCTCTCTCTCTCTCTCTCTCTCTCTTGATCAGCCATGGCTGTTCCAGGGTCTATCATGAAACTGCAACTCTCTCCATCTTCATGCCTCACAGCTCCAAGACACTGCCATTTTTCAAGAAAAAAGGTCATTTCTTCTTCTTTCATCCTTTTCATTTTCACTTCCATCCCTTTTAAGGAATTCTTATGCAAGAACTCATGATTTCTTTCTGGTTTGCAAATGGTTGTTTGAATGATGCTTTGTTCATAGCTCAAATGCCTAACTTTACTCTTCACAAGATCGCAGAAAAGTAATGGCAAATAGATGAATTCGGCAAGAAACTTGCTAAAAATAGAAATCTTTCACTTATATCGTTGATGGATGGTTTTTACAGTTCCAGTTAAAAGCTTCTGCAAGTGGTCCAGATGCCGAAGAAGGGCAGATGGCGATCAAGAAAGAGAAAAACCGGTGGAAGATTGATTTTTCCGGCGAAAAACCAGGGACACCGTTGCTGGATACCATCAATTATCCGGTTCACATGAAGAACCTTTCGAAACAGGTTTGAAAAAAAATTGAATTTCTGCAATCAGTTGTTGCTTCGACTACAACGAAGAAATCGGATCTATAGACCGCCAAATATGTCTAAATGTTCTAATAGACTATTTTACGGGACATAAGTTTATAGCATCAAGCACTTGTTTGTCTTGTATAAAACTGCTACAATAAATTACAACACGTTATTGGAGTCTTACCACGTTTTTATAAAACATTTGATATCAATTGTTTTATTAGCTTTTCTCCGGGACATTTGTTTTTATAGGACACTTTTTTAAATAATGCACATAAACAAATTAGTAAAGATTTGTCTAAAAAACTTGTTAATACATTGAAATGGCTTATGTGCGACTTACACTTGTTAACTTGGACTGTGAACTAAAGTCTATAAAGCATTCTAATATTGTGGTGGTGAGTTGGTGCTTCTCTGACTTGTACACTGTGCATATTTGATGGTTCCTTCCATTATTGCAGGATCTTGAACAGCTAGCAGCAGAGCTAAGAGTGGATATAGTATACACAGTAGCAAAAACAGGTGGGCATTTAAGTGCAAGTTTAGGAGTGGTTGAGTTGGCTGTGGCTTTACACCATGTTTTCAACACCCCAGACGACAGAATCATATGGGATGTTGGCCACCAGGTGAAATTTGTTGATAACTTTTTAATTTTATTTTGTACTTGTAAAGAAAATTAACAGTCTGTTACTGTGCTGCAAAAAATCTACAGGCATACCCACATAAGATTCTTACTGGAAGAAGGTCTAAGATGAACACCATAAGGAAAACTTCTGGTCTTGCGGGCTTTCCTAAAAGAGATGAGAGTGTTTATGATGCTTTTGGTGCAGGCCATAGTTCTACCAGCATCTCCGCTGGCCTTGGTATATATGGCTAAATTCCCACTTCTCGTAAAAAAATGTTTAAATATACTGGTAGACTCTTCTATAATTTTAGATCCTATTTGAAAGTGTTACAATAAGTTTATAGAACGTTTTTTTTTGGTGTCTCAACGAGTTTTTTTAGTAAATCTTTAAAATAGAGAAATTAATTAAAATAGTCATTTTTACCGCTTGGTTTCACTTCTTAGCCATTTCTTTACCTGGTTTATCAAAATAGCCCTAGTTCCGCGATTTTATATTCTTTTTGCAGAATTGGGTGAGAAATGAATTTTTTTTTCGGACCTGGGTGAGAAATGTAATTATTTTTGCGGAGGGTTTTGCGGACCTATGTCTATTTTGGTAAACTTAGAAAAAAAAATGGCTAGAAGGTGATAACGATCCTGAAAAATGACTATTTTAATAAATTTTTCTTTAAAATAAAAGTGTTGCATTAGTTTTTTTATAGGACGGTTTGAAAAAGTGTCATTTATAGGACACCTTTATAAATAATGTCGTTCAAAAATATCAATTTATGAGGTTTCATTTAAAAAGTGTCCTAAAAGAGTTTGTTAACTAAACTTATTATAACATTTTTATACTAGATGTCTAATTGCTTGGTATTATAAACTTAAGTTCTGTAAAACAGTCTATTACAAGAATTTGACAATTTTTACATCCTGTAAAGTGCAAAATGATCATTTTATTGGTGATTCTTGTAGTGACTTTGTTTGTTCCTTATTTAGGTATGGCTGTTGGAAGAGATCTATTAGGGAAGAACAACAATGTGATATCTGTGATTGGAGATGGAGCAATGACTGCTGGACAAGCATATGAGGCCATGAATAATGCCGGGTTTCTTGATTCGAATCTCATTGTCGTGTTGAATGATAACAAACAGGTTTCTCTACCCACGGCTACTCTCGATGGACCAGCAACTCCCGTTGGAGCTCTGAGTAGCAGTTTAGCAAAGCTGCAAGCAAGTCCCAAATTCCGTAAGCTTCGTGAAGCTGCCAAGGTAAATCATATTCGGTTATTCATTTTGTATGCATATATTCATATGTGAATATGCAATTGTGGGGGATTCTACATACAACAAACAGGAATCACTATGTGATCCTAAAATGGGCATATTATGTTTTCACAAATCTTTTTTCCTTTCTTTCATTACTTTCTTAGGGCTTGTTATGTGTATATATTCATATGTGAATATGCAATGGTGTTTGAGGATAAGTAGTACAAGGAGCCTTATTCACATACAACTATATGATCATATACAATGGGCATATTATGTATGTGTTTGTAAATCTAACTTTTCATTCTCTGATTAGTCTCTTCGGTCTTTTGTATGTATATAGAGTTTTACAAAGCAAATTGGGCCTCAAGCACATGAAGTTGCAGCAAAAGTGGACGAGTATGCGAGGGGTATGATTAGCGCCAGTGGATCGACTTTGTTTGAGGAGCTTGGTCTATACTACATCGGTCCGGTGGATGGACACAACATCGAAGATTTAGTCACCATTTTTGAGAAAGTGAAATCGATGCCAGCACCAGGCCCTGTTCTGATTCATATTGTAACAGAGAAAGGGAAAGGTTACCCTCCTGCTGAAGCGGCTGCCGACAGAATGCACGGTAAGCACGCCACAACAAAATCTGGTTTATAGAATGCCAAAAATGTCTAAGTATTATTTTAGACTGTTTTATAGGACTTAATTTTGTAGGACCAAACACTTGTACGTCCTATATAAAAAGTGTTACAATAAGTTTATAAGATGTTTTTGTATCAAGTTTGTTAGGACAACTTTGAAACATAACTTTTATGACATTATTTGAAAAAAAATATTTAATAAAAACAAGTGTCCTGTGTTTGTATTGGACACCTTATTTTAAGAATGTGCTAAAAAACATGTTAAGTTGTCCAAAAACGTCATATAAATTTATTAAAACACTTTTACATAGGATACACAATTGTTCGATTCTTATAAAACCGTCTATTAAGACATTTTTTGATCAAGGACATCCCTGAAAGTTTCTTCTTGTTTCAGGGGTTGTGAAGTTTGACGTTGAAACGGGAAAACAGTTCAAGACAAAATCTCCGACACTTTCGTATACTCAATACTTTGCAGAAGCCCTTATAAAAGAAGCGGAAGTGGACAACAAGGTTGTCGCCATACACGCAGCCATGGGAGGGGGGACTGGCCTCAATTACTTCCAGAAAAAGTTCCCAGATCGCTGTTTTGATGTGGGTATCGCCGAACAACATGCCGTCACTTTTGCAGCAGGTTTAGCAGTCGAAGGTCTGAAGCCATTCTGTGCTATCTATTCCTCGTTTTTACAGCGAGGCTATGATCAAGTCAGCTCTCGATTCACCCTTTTACTTCATATCACTTTAACAAATTGGGTTTATAAGATGACAAAAATATCTAAATCTTATAATAGACTGATTTATACGACTCAAGTTTACAAAGACCAAACAATTATATATGCATTCTGTGTAAGTTTATAGGACGTTTTTGGGCTTCTTATCATGTTTTTAGGACACTTATAGCATATTTTTTAGAAGTGTCATATGAAAGCATCTTTCCATAGGAAACTTTTTCAAATAATATCATATAAAAAAATTGTTTTAGACCTATAAATTTAAGTCTTATAAAAGAGTCTATTTTGACATTATTTTAGACGTCCTCTAAACCCGATTTTGTTGTAGCATCTTTTACAAAAGTAAAGTGATAAGTAACAAGTAGTTTGGAATTTGGATGATGTATATATCCAGGTGGTGCATGATGTTGATCTTCAGAAACTACCCGTTCGGTTTGCAATGGATCGAGCTGGTTTGGTTGGGGCGGATGGACCGACACACTGTGGAGCTTTTGACATCGCGTACATGGCATGCTTGCCAAACATGGTGGTGATGGCGCCATCTGATGAAGCCGAGCTCATACACATGGTTGCTACTGCTGCCGCCATTGATGACAGGCCTAGCTGCTTCAGATTCCCAAGAGGCAATGGAGTTGGAGTTCTTCTTCCTCCTAACAACAAAGGAGTTCCCATGGAGGTTAAATCTATCACAAACTACTACTAGTCTACTACAAAATATATATATATATACACACACACAACAACAACAACATCAGGTTTATTGGCCCAAAAAATATCCATATATTCCAATAGACTGCTTTATAAAACTTAATTTTATAAGGTGTTTTTTGACGTTTTAACAAGTTTGTAGGACAATTTTGATATAAAAACATCTTACTAAGTTTCTTATATGATTTGATTTGAAAACTTGTCTTATAAAAACAAATGTTTTATAAAAAGAAGTACCTACAAGACACTTCTCAATGTGTCCCGTAGAAAAAGCTAATAAAACACTTTATTTCAAAAATGTTTTAAAATACTTGTTAAAATGTCCAAAAATGTCGTATACAAACTTATTGTAGTATGTTTATTCATACATACTTAAGTACACGTTTGGTGTCCTGTAAACTCTATTTTGTTACAATGACATCTATCAACATAAAGGGTTGATGGTCTTTGAACTTTGAACAGATTGGTAAGGGAAGAATACTCCTGGAAGGAAGTAGAGTAGCGATTTTGGGATATGGTTCGATAATTCAAGAATGTCTAGGTGCTGCGGGCTTGCTTCAAGCTCATAACATATCCGCCACAGTAGCGGATGCCAGATTTTGCAAGCCATTGGATGCCGAATTAATCAAAAGATTGGCGAACGAGCATGAAGTCTTGCTTACGGTAGAGGAAGGTTCGATTGGTGGATTTGGATCGCATGTTGCTCATTTTCTGAGCTTGAATGGTATTCTAGACGGAAAACTCAAGGTAACATTATAACAAAATCGGCTTTATATGTTATCAAATATGTCATAATAGACTAATCTACATAAGTTATGCTTATATGATTAAACAATTGTACAACCTATTTAAAAGTGTTACACTTAGTTGATATGCCATTTAACAAAAACACATTTGAAATAAAATATTATATTAACTTTTCTTATATGAGAATTTTAAAAAGTGTCCAATGGATACATTGTTTTTGTAAAAACAGTTAAATCAAGTTACATAAAAAACTAACGTCACAATTTTATTTCAAAACTGTCATAAAAATCATTAAAGCATCCATAGTACAAGCTTTTTAAGAAGGTCTTTTTTATTGTTTGTACACAAGCCTTGAAAAAGTGATATTGGTTTGCCAAATAAGTTTTGGGTCCCATTTTATTTGAAAAAGTAACCTATTATGGATGCTTTTAAGATGTCAAAATGACTAACATATTTACATAGAACATATAATTGTCGGACTATATTAATTTAAGTTATGTAATTAAATAAGTCTATTATGACATTAAACATATTTGATGTCCTATAAAACCGATTTTGGTGTATAACGCCTAAGCACACTCATTGAGCTTCCAACCATGATTTACGTAGTTTAAACTAATTTGGTCTATGGGGATTATGATTATCTTGTGCAGCTAAGAGCGATGACTCTTCCGGATAGATACATCGATCATGGAGCACCACAAGACCAGCTTGAAGAAGCTGGTCTTTCTTCAAGACATATTTGTTCAACACTTTTATCGCTCTTAGGGAAACCGAAAGAAGCACTTCAGTACAAATCAATTATATAGGAGGCAAGTTGGTCTTTCTTTAAGACATATATGTTCAACACTTTTATCGCTCTTAAAGAAACCGAAAGAAGCACTTCAGTACAAGTCAGTTATATAGTTATAGGAGAAGAGCAAAACATGATCCTTCCCTTTTGATAGTTAACAAATGTGGTGTGGTTGCTTGAAGTTGAATCAGACAAGGACGACTTCCGCCTAGTATCTGCTGTTATATATATGCAAATACATACACACACATATATGTATATGTAAATACATATATGACTTGAGATCATGTAAGACAAGGCTGTTTTTGTGACACACAATTTTTACTCTTGAAACTTCACAGTTCACAGTGTTTTTGCTGTGAAGATTCAGTTTTTTTTACATTCACAACATTTTTGTTGTGAAGTTTCAAGTGTAAAAATCGTGTCTCAATTGTCTCACTAAAACAGTCTTGTCTTTCGTGAACCTAACCCATATATATACATACATATATATATATATATATATATATATATCTATATAGGGGCTGTTGTAACACCCCATACCACACATTGAATGTAACACATACTTCATACACAAGAAATACATGTTTATACACCATATTGGTCCCTTAGTACAAGAAACTACCAGTACAGAATACATGGTCCAAAAATTCAAAATACAATTCTTGCACTAATCCGGTTTCATCTATCAAAACTATACATATCATCAGCCATTCTTCATGCAGATAAACACATAGGGAATTTATCACATTTTCCCTTTTCCCTTACCTTCTGCACTTCCTGCAATACATGTTTAAAATCACAAAACGAGGRTTAGACCGAAGGGTCTAGTGAGTTACCCTATTTATGTTATTGCAGGGTGATAATCACCAAAATTTTTATTTAAATTAGTTCTTCATATATATAACCAATATATGAACAAGTAGGAACATGATATCAATACCTTTCACTTTTCAAGCCAAATTTTCTGCTTGCAAACAAAACTCCAAATCCAAACAGGTTTGCACTAACCAGATTATCATAATGCCACTTTTAAACCTTTCAAATCAAATAAGGTTTATTCAAAGTTTCAGATCAAACTTGTTATCTCTTCCCCAATAACATCCAAACTATGATTCCCAATAAGAACCCTGATCCTAAACCTTTAAGTCACAAAGAAATAAAGATTTCAGACCACAATAATCTTAAAGGATATAATTATATTACATAACACACATACAAATGCCACCCTTATTTCCAAATGTACACCTCTCCTTGATATGCCACCCTTATCCCATGGTACACCTCTCCTAGATATGCCACCCTTATCCCATGGTACACCTCTCCTAGATATGCCACCGTTATCCCATGGTACACCTTTCCTTGATATGCCACCCTTTTTTTCCCATCAAAACATTTCACAAGACAATTCCATATAGAATAGACCGTAGTCAATGAAATTTTGTTAGTTCAAAATTATATTTTTCAAAATTCCTATTTCTTGTAAATAGATCAATCAAAATGATAAGTCAAAATTCAACCCGGTCAAAACTTGGCCGGATCACTAATCTGGACAACCCTAGTTACTATGCCCGATTTATTACTTAGGTTGATTTCTCAATAGTTTGTCCGGATTACTAATCCGGACAACACTTATTTAAAATTTATCCTGTTTACAAATAAACCGGTCACCCTTTAGTCGTATTCATATTTCTCCGGTCAAAACACTTAACATGATTTCAAGTTCATAAATCGATCAATACCTAAACCAACTAACTCTTTAAACCGGTTAAAACATGTCTGGTTTATCTCTAAATCGCTTAAGTCATGATCAATTTAAGGCTAAACCGGTTGATACACCAAACATTTTATATTCAATCCGGATAGCCTTTGAGCGATTTACATATATATGTATATACTTGGAATCTCACTAACTCTAAATCCCTTAATTCTTATGTGCGGTTTAAAGAACATCCGGTCATACCTTACCCGATTTAAACGAAATCTGATAAATCTTTTTAAAGCTCCATTCAATACGCAATTCCAGGTATTTTGAAAGCATAAATTAGTCACCTTATGCAATTCTTTTGAAAACCGGTCTTGAAAATCAACTTGAATTCCGACCAAAACAATCCGGTCAAACCTTCTTCACTTAAATCACTCACTTATGATAACAAAGTATCAAGAGAAGAAAATGGAAGGTAAGACCCTCTTTTATACCTTTCCATAACAGGAAAGTCGGCTACTAAAGCCTCCCCCTTCACATGCATATACATAAACCATGCATTCCAGGAACTTTTATTCACACACATGCATGCATACCTCATGCATTTGAGTATATATATATATATATATATATATATATTTCATATTATGCATATCAATATCATACCTATACATAAAATACACATACTCACGTTCTTAATTTATGTAAGCATGTATTCACATAAACAATTAACTCACATAATAAATACTTTGGGTAATAACCAGGATCCAGTTATCACATTATCCACCCCTAAAAAAGAATTCCGTCCCGGAATTCCTTTATTCAAAGAGCCACGGATATTGTGATCTCATTTTCGATTCCAATTCCCATGTCGCTTCTGGTCCTTTGTGAAATTTCCACTGTACTTTAACCAAACTGAGTTCTTTGTTTCTTAACACCCTGATTTTTTGGTCAATCACGGCTTCTGGTGTTTCCACAAAGTTTAGCTTACTGTCCAATTTAACCTCTGGTAGCGGTACAGCGAGATTCGGATCAGCTAAACATTTCCACAAGTTCGATACATGGAAAGTGTTGTGAATCAGACTTAGTTCTTCTGAAAGTTCTAACTGATATGCCACTGGCCCGATTCGTTTACATATTCTGAATGGCCCAACATACCTGTGACTGAGTTTACCCTTCTTTCCGAATCTGATAACACCCTTCCATGGCGAAACTTTCAACATCACAAAATCACTTACACAGAATTCAATTGGCTTCCGACGATTATCAACATAACTTTTCTGGAGATTTTGTGCGGTTCTAATTCTTTCACGGATCTGTTCAATCTTTTCAGAAGTCTCTTGAACAATCTCAGGACCTGTCAACTGTTTTTCTCCTACCTCGTTCCAACATAACGGCATTCGACATTTACGTCCATACAATACTTCATAAGGTGCCGCTTGGATGCTGGAATGGTAACTGTTATTGTATGCAAACTCTATTAATGGCAAATGATCTTCCCACGATCCTCCGAAGTCAGTGATACAACTTCTTAACATGTCTTCGAGAGTCTGAATAATTCTTTCACTTTGCCCATCAGTTTGCGGATGATAAGCTGTGCTTAGTCAGATTTCAGACCCCAAAGCTTTCTTCAAACTTTCCCAAAGATTTCGTTAATATAAATCTGAGCCAACTTTTCTCGAGTAATTCTCTCTTATTGGTAGAAAATGCGCAGATTTAGATAGACGATCAACAATTACCCAGATCGCGTCATACCCTTTTGGAGTTCGAGGTAATTTCATGAAGAAATCCATTGTAATGTGATCCCATTTCCATACAGGTATTTCCAAAGATTGAAGGATTCCATACGGTTTTTGATGTTCAATCTTAACCTGTAGACATGTCAGACATTGTTCCACATATCTGGCTATATCCCTCTTCAATCCGGGCCACCAATAAAAAGGTTTCAAATCCTTATACATTTTATTGGTACCTGGATGAATAGAGTATCAGGATTTATGACTTTCATTTAATATAGTTTTCCGGATATCTCCAAAACACGGTACCATATTCACTCTTGAAAGCACATAAGTTTTTCCTTGTTCGGTTTCAGAGTTGTAATCATCTTACCTAACCTTTCTGATTTGACAAGATCTTCCTTCATAGCTTCTTTTTGACATCTCATAATCTCTTTATGGATATCAGGGACTAAATTTATTCTCATTGCCACACTTTTAATAGTTCCGCTCTTTTCTTTTCTGCTCAGAGCGTCAGCTACCACGTTGGCTTTTCCCGGATGGTAGAGGATTTCACAATCATAGTCATTTACAAGTTCAATCCATCGACGCTGCTGCATATTTAGTTCTTTCTGGCTAAACAAATGTTGCAGACTCTTATGATCAGTATAAATCTGGCATTTTGTTCTCAGAAGATAATGTCTCCAGATTTTTAAAGCAAACGTCACCGCAGCTAATTCCATATCATGAGTTGGATATTGCTTCTCATGATCTTTCAATTGCCTTGATGCATAAGAAATTACTTTTCCTCTCTGCATCAAAACACATCCTAATCCCAACTTTGAAACATCACTATATACCATAAAATCTTCAGATCCATCAGGTAGGGTCAACACTGGTGCACTGCAAAGATGATCCTTTAATAGTTGAAAAGCCTTCTGTTGTTCTTCCTCCCACTGAAATTTGATGTTCTTCCGAGTCAATTTGGTCAATGGTACGACTATCTTAGAAAAATTCTGAATGAACTTACGATAATAGCCTGCCAATCCCAAAGAGCTTCGAACTTCAGAAGGAGTTTTTGGAACTTCCCACTTTGCAACTGCTTCTAATTTAACTGGATCCACCTTCACCCCAGCTTCGGATATGACATGACCCAGAAATTGAACTTTCCTTAACCAGAACTCACACTTGGATAATTTTGCGTATAACTTTTCCCTTTTCAATAATTCCAATATTAGACGAAGATGTTCTGCATGTTCTTCTTTGGTCTTATAGTATATAAGAATATCATCGATAAATACAATAACGAATTTATCAAGATATTCCTTACATACTCTATTCATCAAATCCATAAAGGCTGTGGGCGCATTAGTTAAGCCAAATGGCATAACTAAGAATTCTTGATGTCCATACGTGGTTCGAAAAACTGTTGTAGTAATATCTTCCTCCCTGACTTTTAACTGGTGATACCCGACCTTAAGTTAATCTTAGAGAAATAACTTGCTCCCACCAGCTGTTCAAACAAATCATCAATCCTTGGCAAAGGATATTTGTTCTTGATTGTCATTTTGTTTAATTCACGATAGTCTATACACATTCGCATAGACCCATCTTTCTTCTTAACAAACAAGACCGGAGCACCCCAAAGTGAAGTGCTGGGTTTAATAAATCATTTATCAGTCAGATCCTTCAATTGTGCAACCAATTCCTTCAATTCAGATGGAGCTAACCGGTATGGTGCCTTAGCTACTGGTGCAACCCCTGGTATGAGATCAATTCGGAA